GCCTCGTCGCCGCATCACGCTTCCTCGGTAACAGCCGCTCTCCGACCAGCAACAGACATCCGATCTCCGTCAATCCGACAACGTCATACAACATGACACACCGGTCCCCGTCTACCTCCGAGTCCGATCGGCAACGGACTTCCTATCCCCGTCGGCCCGACAACGTCATACGGTATGACACACCGGCCCTCGTTTCCCCGCCTAAGTCCCCTAGACACTAGCAGTCGCCGTAGCACCAGCCGCTTATGTAATGCCTGGTCCGTGCGCACTTTGACTAGTATATAAGGACCCCCTTCATCGCTACCTAGCCCCATCTCAACCTCTTGGTTTATTGGGCTAGGTAAGCCTTCGTTTGTATTGTAGTACAGTTGCTAATATAAACTTGGTTTATTGGGCTAGCTGAATAAGCTAACACACTAGTCGCCAGACCTCGTCGGCGCCGCCTTCTGTTTAGATCCACTTAGTATCCCTCGTGGTGTGTTGACGCAAGTCCACATCACTCTGCTTCTTTGTCATAGTCGGTAGCCTTCGCGCTTGTTCTCAGTTTCTTCCGGTCTCGCATCTTTGGCTCTGAGCGACCCTTGCACTTCTTAGTAGCTGTTGCACTGCTTGCACGGTTGTCTGCAGCACTGTCATCATTGTCATCCATGTCTTCTGTGTCATCTGACTCTGTACCTGAGTTAGAGCTGCAATTGTTGCCAGAAGCATCTGAGCTGTGCTTGGCCTTGCGCATGAAGGGTGAGATGATAGCCTAGAAAGTGAAGCTTAAACAGATGTAAGAGAAATGTAGAGGACAATGGCATACCTTAACTACAAGGTTGAGAATATGAGCAAAGCAGCGAACACACATCTGGTGGCTGTTGATACCACTGAGTGAAGTCTCAAGTTTGGCAACCATTGTTGCATTATCTGATGCATTGTCGGCAGTAATTGCGAGAATCTAGAATGGCAGGTGAGTGATGATAATGTGGAGAGACAAAACAGCCATACTTTATCTTCAATACCATACTGCTTGAGGCATACTGCAAGCTGCTGAGCAAGGTATATGCCAGTGTGTGCCTTTGTCAGCATGATGAAGTCGAGTATGAATGAAATCATTTTGCCCTCGTGTACACAATAGACTGTGATCCCTAGAAATAAAATCATGTTCAAAGATGTCCATCCATCGAGACACAAGTATAGATGGCCAGGGTGCTCCTAGTGAACAGTGTTAGCAAGCAAGTACATGCACATGAGAAAGATGGCATACTTAAAGGATCTTTCCAATAGTGATGTGTGAGATAGTGGTGGGGTGAGAGACATCGACCTTAGAGGTTGAGCATGTGTAGGAGGTCAAGGAACCCAGGGTCTTGTATGATGGCATAGGGCCGGTGGCAGTGCGCAATCCAAGTTGCGAGCTTGAAGCAAAATTTGGCCAGATTGTAAGTCGTGCTTTGAATGAAGGCATCAATTCCCTGTTGACTGGCAGGTGGCTTGGAGCTCTTTATGCATGCTGTGACATGACAAACAAGGTTGCTTGTTGAATCATCCCAACAAGCACGCATAAGCAGCTTTGCCGACGTGCTGAAATGGTGCATAGTTGAATTGCAAGGCTGGCTGTAATGTGTACTGACCTCGTCTTACAGACAAATTTATACTTGATTTCACCTTCAATTCACACAATCTTGGGAGCATGAAAATGCTCGTACACTGCCAACTGCTACAAGGCTTGCTGAAGCTCTTATAACAGATGTTAGTAGAGAAGACAGCAAGAGTTTATATCTTAGCGTACTTAGAACTTCCGTATCTGTGTGCTCTGATACTTTGTACTTCTTCTCAAAATGTGCCTTCTTGTGTTCATCTTCTTTGGCCTGTGCGGTGACTAAGTTTACTGGCTGCAAGACCTCTTCAACTTTGTCATCACCAGACACAGTTGAATTGTCTGGCTCAGCAGTCTTGTTCTGCTTGCATGTTGACATAGTGGGCTGAAGGCGAGGGACTGAGAGGACAATGCAGGTGCTAAGATCAGGAGTGAGGTAAAGAGCATACAGTGCACCACACCTAACAACTACTGGAGCTTCACGAGTCAGGTGAACTTGTTGGCTGACTCTTTGCACTTGTGCATGTGTGTGCACAGGCTGTTCACAGGTTTGCTATCCAATGAGAGCTGCCAGATTCATGTTGCACAAGGAGCGGTCAGCCGAATCACCTCAGGTAAGCAGTTTCATGCCTGCTAAGGGTTCTGACAGGCAAAATGTACGTTCCTAATCTATATTCAGAGAGATTCATAGATTTACAGATGACTCACCAGACTCTATATCTGCTTCCGCTGTTTCAGAGGCCATGCAGCTACACTCAGCTTGCTCAGACCAGCTTCTTGTTTCTTTACAGTTAAAACATTGTCATAGTCTGAACAAAGACCACATAATAAACTCACTGACGTACCTGTAGATACACAAAAGTGCTATGACATATGAGAGAGGGCGAGAGTCAATTGTTGAACTTGCAGAAGAAGCACGGAGGTTGAACTTGCCCATTATTCATGGGCAGCGCTTAGCACTTCCCAGCTGCAGATATTCTTTTTAACTGTGTACTTCACCACTCTTGCCTTTGTTGCAAGCACGGACATTTCATTGACAATGGTGTTTCAAGATTACACAGATCTCATGGATTTAAAAACTGCAGAAGCTATGCTGTCTCAGGTCAGCTACTATTTGCTATCTTCCAAATGTCTGCCTCAGTGCTCATGAATGCTGTAGCCGGCTTGCAGGGCCTCCCACAGTTTTGTGTTGTGATGGATCATTAGACAGATCTAGCAACTGGGTGTATCTATCTAGCAGAGCTAATTGAAGTCGAAGGACATGGTGAACAGGTGTGTCACTGTCTTTATACTCTCAAGCTTGGACTTATTTGTCGACGTATCAACAATCTTGGAGAAGTCAGCCATTGGTTCAAGGGATATAAAATGCTTATCAATCCTGTCGTTCAAGACCAATTGGATCCTACCCTCTTTGGCTTGATCAAAATGGTCAGACGTGAGTTTATTTGTGCCAATGAGCTCACAGAAGCTAAAGCCAATGCTAATCAAAATGATGTCATTAGCAATGACAGTTCTGATCTTGTGGTGTGTGAGATGCATGCACATTCCTATGTCATTTCATACTGTTCTCATTGCACTTAACTCTAGACTATGGTTCCTGCTCCTGCTCCATCACCAGAAGATGCCACTAATGTTGCTAGTGCTGCTGTCACACCTGAAACTGCATACGATGACATAGCCAAACTCACTGAGCTCATGAAGACTCTTCAAGTGAATGACACTGATCTGCCTGCTTTGCTGATGGACTAAGAAGGAGATTATGATAACATCATTGGAGAGCATGCCAATGAGTAATATACATGTATTACTCCTGAATGAAACGCTGTATCTGCTGTACCTGCCATGCCTAATACAAACTCATGAGTCGAGCCATGACTTGTAAGTTCAGTACCCATGGGTATGGGTGAGACATGGAAAGTACCCCACGTGGCTCTGGGTTGCCGCTTTGAGAAGGTTCATACCTGTGGGTTCAGCTCTGAGTTGACCCATGGATCCATGTGTGCTAGGCTTTAAGAGCTATTACAGCTTTTAGAGCATCATGCACATATAATACACAGTATCAGAAGCATACTTAAAGGTTTGAAGGACCTATAACATGTAGAAATGTTCTGCATTATAGCAGGCTTCTTCTGTCTCAGCCTGTCACCTATTTTCACTTATTTTCACTCTTTTACCTCTGTCTCTATGTTTCTCCTATTTTTACCTCTTTCTCCCATCATAACTCTCCAGCTCCTATATTAATCAAGTCAGCATTAGGCTCAGTCCAAACTCAGCCCCTATGTAAACTGGGCTTTATCAGACTCATGTCAGGCTTTGTCAAGCTCTGGCTCAGCTTTTATATAGGACTTTAAAGTAGGTCAGAGTGTATTTATGTAATACTGTATGGTACCTACCCTGTAGGGTATATAGGGCTGCAAACTCCCTGGAATAAGATCTTCAGTCTTAAGCTGG